TTCAGAGTGAACACCTCTATATGACCAGCACCTAAATTAAGAAAGAAGGGGCTGGCCGAGTGGTGCGATGGTTAAGAACTGGCTTGGGATGCCAGAGGGCCCCGGTTCGGATCCCACATATGAGGGCCAGTGACACTGCCCTCCAAAAAAAAAGAAAGAAAGAAGACATAGCCAGCCACCAAGCAGGTCACCCTGGGCACCGTCCAGTCACCACTCTGAAAGGTAACCACTATCCCAACACCAAATACTGGACCTTCCTTAACCTTGAGCTTAATCTTTCTAAGCCTCAGTTTTTTCATATGCAAAATCGGGCCAATAGAGCACCAATTTCAAAGAATGTAAGAATGAAATGAAATAACCAATATAAAGCATTTTGCACAGGATTGGATATTTAATAAGCAATTAGATAGCTGCTTATTAAATTTATTTTGATTCTTATTTTCCTACTTGCTTGAGATTGGCTTGTCACTTGCCTGTCTGAGGCATGAGCAAGCTCCGTCTCTACCCAAGGACTGAAAGCTATGTTTTCACAACCATCCAGGCTTTGTACTTCGCTAGGGGACGTTGGGTTATGGCAACCCAGGGAGAAGAGAAAAAAAGTGAACATAAACACACACATGAACAAACTGGGGGTCCATCTTGGAGAAACATCGGAAACTGTCAAAACAAACTTGGTTGTCAAAACAAAGAAGAGGAATAGAGTGAGAATAAAGTGGGTGTTCTAGTAGGAGAGCGGAGAGGATGAGATAATAAGTTTTCAAAACCAGAGACATTAAATCTAAGGTGAGTGGTCATGAGCACCATGGCCATGAAAAGTTCTGACACGGCTGGGGCATTGATGGAGAAGTGTCAGAGCGCAGGAACTCCAGTGGGATCTTAGCATATCAGTTCATTTTTAGGAACAGATTATGTCCAGTATAGAACTTTCTATTGAAAGCGTATCTCCATGTTCTTTGAAGAGAATATCAATTTAGAGGTGTAGATTAGCATCTAAAAGGCTGTCTTGACCTCTGGCCTTCCAGAAATTTCTTCATCTGATCTGTTTATCTTCTGAACATTGCCTTATCTCACTTTATTTTAGTTTACATGCCTCCATACCCCTCCCCAATTATACATAATTCATGGCCCCATGAAACAGAAGGAGAAATTTTCTGGCCTAAAGGCAGTTTGCTGTGCAAAGCTTTTGAGCCCCATATTTTCATAAAGTCATCTAACAACGAACTAGGGGCATCATTTCAACTTTTGCTGAAAGGTCAGTTGTCCCTTTTGGGAGCTCACAACTACTTTAGAAAAACCACACATGGCAGACCTTTTAATCCCCAAATCCTTTCCCAGGATAGTAAATTAGTTTGACTAAAAGTTGAGAAGCATCACAGATTAATAGAAAGCACACAACCCTGCAATTAGTAATAAAGGCTCATTCCTTCATCTTTCCGTTCTGTTGGACCCTGGATTGCAGCACAGAGAAGTATGCAGAGTGCTAACTTTGGAGTCAACATACCTGGGCTTGGAATCTGGCTGTGCACTGATTAGCTCTGCGATCTGGAGCAAATTTCACAACTTTTTTGAGTCTTAATCTCCTCTTTTATACAATCACATTAACAATACTCATACACAGCATCATTGTGAAGCTAAGTGAAAGTGTTCACCCGGAGCATCTTGCTCAGTATCTAGCCCAGAATAGAAAATAAATATAGCAGTTCTTATTTAAAATAATAATAATAATCTTAACAAATTTGCTCTGCATTTTGACTTTATTGTATTGTTATTAATATTCCTTTGTGTAGAACTAACAATAATAACAGCAAATGTTTACTGAGTCCTTACAATGTGCACACTGTTTAAAACATTATGTTATTCAAATTTCACAATTACTCCTTGATTTGGTATTATTATCTTCTCCAGTTTTACAGACGAGAAAACAGATTAAGGTACTTGCCCAATGTCCTACAGGAGTAAGGGGTGGAAAGAGCTTTGAACTCAAAAAGTTTGACTCCAGAGCCCATGATATTAACCACATACGAGTTTTGACAATTAAGTTTGTGAACTTGTTGCAATGATGTTGCTAACATTTTTTGATATCAGAGAGATTATTCATTATGAATTTGCACCAACTGGACAAACAGTTAACCAAGGTTACTATTTGGAAGTACTGAAAAGGCTGCGTGAAAAAGACAAAAATCGACCTGAACTTTTTGCCAACAATTCATGGCTCTTGCATCACAACAAAGCACCAGCTCAGCACTGTCTGTGAGGGAGTTTTTAGCCAGTAAACAAATAACTGTATTGGAACATCCTTCTTATTCACCTGATCTGGCCCCCAGTGACTTCTTTCTTTACCTGAAGATAAAGGAAATATTGAAAGGAAGATATTTTGATGACATTCAGGACATCAAGGGTAATATGATGATAGCTCTGATAGCCATTCCAGAAAAAGAGTTCCAAAATTGCTTTGAAGGGTAGATTAGGTGCTGGCATCAGTGCATAGCTTCCCAAGGGGAGTGCTTCCAAGGTGATCATAGTGATATTCAGCAAGGAGGCGTGTAGCACTTTTTCTAGGATGAGTTCGCGAACTTAATTGTCAGACCTCGGACTCTATCCACCATGTTGCTCTTTCACTTGTTCTGTTTACAGAATCAATTTTAGAGCGTGTTCAATACATCTGTAACTGTTTTTTAAATACCATGTACATTTGCTTTTGCAATGTGCTTGGGTTCAAGGTTTTGAATCCAGCACATTTGCCAAACATGCGTGAATGGGATGTGTGGGGAGGGTACTTGGGGTTAAATAGTTCATACTTAATTTCATTTGTATTTCCTTAAAACTTCGTGCTTTTCCTTTTGAATTACAAATACTGACATTTTAATACTGTTTGCCTAATGCCATTCTTCCATGAGATAAGCATAGTTTTTCAGCAACTTCACTTTTAAAGACTGTCTTTCATAATAGTCATGCTATTGGATCAAATTTTCAGGATTAGAGAAAAAGATTAAAGTTCATGTTGCTCAGTTCAGGACCAAATAAAATTGTGGCTTACAATCCCCACATGTCAATATTCACAACACTGTTAACGAAAATTTTCAAATAAGGGTGAGAGAGACAAAATGTCCTCCTATAATACAGACTTGTTATTAGATATTCAGATATCAGACTTGTTACTAATAATAAGCAATACTTACTATTGGGCAGGTGTTCTATGCCTATGCTATGTCTTCTTCTTGCTCATTATACAGTCTCTGCTCTCTTAATTCCCCTTCATCTGAGGTTAGCAGGTTTTTTTCCTATCTGATACAACTCTTCATGTGGATCCTTATATTTTGGATTATTCCATTATATCTGGCACTACTCAACAGCATCTCTTCCTTAATTCTCACCTCAGTTGGCATCTCTGACATTCGACTTTTGATTCAACCTCTACCTGTTGCCATTCTGTGGACTATGGGAAACAAAATATAATAAGACTCGGACCCTTCTCTCAAATTCATACAATCAAACTGGGATGTATATATAAAAGTGTGCAGTACTGTGAACTCACAGAAGTGTGCATAAGGTCAAAGCATAGCTCAGAGGAGGGGACGGGTAACTCTATGGAAGGGAACTGCAGTGAGGGCTTCACGGAAGTGTTAGCCTTGGAGCTATTCAATAACAGATGCATATGACCTTGACATATGTACCAACTAGACAAGAACAAGAACATTCTAGGCAGAAGGAACAGTGCAAGCCAATTTGTCAATGCATAAAATATGTACCATATTTAGGGACATAGAAATAGTTTCCCATTTCTAAGGGGTAAAGTAAGATGGAGAAATTCTTAGAAGCTCAGGCTACAGAGGTAGTTATAACTGAGGTTGAAAATGAACTTGGATGAAAATTCACCAAATTATTCACTCATTTGTTCATGCATGCATTCATTCATACAAAAGTATTCCTCAATACTTACTATAGGTTAATCTCTGTGATAGGCTCTGCAGAGATAATACTGAGCAAGTATTATATGTACAAATAGTATGCAATCTAATGGAAGAGGCAGACTATTAAGCAAGAAATTATATTAATGTGCTGAAGCAGCAACCCCAACCTAGGCTAGGCTAAGGGGTCGAGCAAGGTAGCCGGCCTAGGGTAACGATGTTCAATATGAGGTGGGTGAGTAGGAGTTAGACACGTGAACTCTGAGCAGGAAGGGAGAGAAAGAATATTGAATTCAGAGGTAACTGTCTTCAGAGGCATAGATGCAACACGGATCTGGCACACGAGTTTCAGAATTTCAATATGACTGGAATCACAATTAAGGGTGGGGGCTCAGGGCTTCGTGGCACAGGGCTGGGGGCTGCCTGCAAGGACAGTCCTAGGAGCCATGTTTAGGAGTTTACACTTTATTTTGAGGACAAAAGGGGAGCCTTTAGAAGTTTGAGATAAGGTATTTTAGAAAGATTACTCTGGAAGCACCACAGAGAATGGAGTAGAAGGGAGCAAAACTAGAGTGGTTAGAATAGTTAGAGGGCTAATGAGTAATGGCGGTAGTAATCACCATCACCATCATCATCATCATCATCATCATCATCATCATCATAGAAGTCCTCACTATCTCTTAATATAGGCTTACCATGAGCCAGACACTGTTCTAAGGACTTTGCACTAATTACACGTTTAATCCTCATGGTAGGTAGGTACTACCACTATCCCTTTCACAGATGAGAAAACAGGTACAGTCATATGTTCAAGGTCACACAGCAATTTCTGATAGAGCCAGAACTAAAATCCAAGCCACCGGATTTTAACACAGTCCTATTATCCTGTTAGAGGTGATACTGGCATAAACTAGAATAAAGCAATGAGAATTCAAAAAACTGAATAGAACTGCGAGAAATTCTGGAAGGAGAATCTATCGAATTAAATAAGGCAATGAGAAATAGAGGTGGAACTACTTTAACTTTGCCCTAGGAAGCCACTTTAAATACTAAGCAATTTTCTTTAAATTCTATGTTTATATTAAAACTCACCAGCTATAATGGCTCCCAAACCCAAGCTTACGCAGGCATTTCAGATTCTCTACTAAATAAAGCTCTCCCTCATTATTCATTAAATCAACAAATATTTAATGACCTGTTCTAAGCCAAGTTCTGTACAAAGTCATGGAAATTATGCAACACATATAGTTCTCACCCTCATGGATCACCCAGAGAATTTGCTCAAGCTTCAGCTACGGGTTTCCTACTTTAGTGTTAAATACTCAAAGGCAAGCAAGCATTGGATCACATATTTTTGGAATCCAATGCACATGTCACAGTGTTTTCTTTAGATATTAATTTTTAAAAATACATGGGTGGTGAAAAAAAGTTACTTAGATCAATCTTTAAATTTCAGCAACTTAGAATAATTAATTTTAAAACATACAGTATATTCAGATCTAGAGACTTGATGCTGTATATGTCTAAAAATTTAAAAAGAAAACATTGTAAATGTTTTTAACCTTGTTAATGGCCCAATGAAAACTCCATTCAAGATTTAAAATAACATCTTTTATATTATGCCTTATCATGTTCATTATCCATCAAATCCTAATTGGACTGAATTTAAATGAGCTCTTGGGAATACTTGCCTGATCTGCCCGATAAGCTGACAAGATGCTAACAATCACTCGGTGATAAATTTTGCAACCAGATAGCCCTACTGAGCAGAGAAAAGTAGTAATTCAGTCATAAACTTTAAAATACCTCAACATGATTATAAAAGTAAATTGTTAAAATTTTAGAGGTTTAAAATAAAGAAGACACTGGTAGTATACAGTGGTTAAAATGTTATAGTCTCTGAAGGAATTAGAAAATTTGAACTATGTATTCTCTTCTACTTTGAAATAATGAAGATTTTTGTTAAAAAAATAAAAACTCTAAAAGCTGGAACACTCATTAAGTTTCCAAGGGATTTAAAGTCAGGAGGGTAGACCTAATTTCAAATTTGACATGAATTCATTGTAGGAAATGACATGTTCTGATTGTCCTACGTTTGCCCTTTCATCTAGTGAAGATAATGAGTACCGTTTGCTAAATTATTTGATCTAGTAGTGTTTGCATAAGGACTGGTTACCTTCACAGTGAGGGTTTCCTGGCATCAATTTGTCATTGAGACAAATTGAGATTCACCAGTTTGTCAAGAACCAGCTCTTCATTAAGATAGATTTTATTTTCCCAATAGGAATAAATCTCCCATCGAAAAAAAAGAGTTAGAATTTTTTCTGATGGAAAAGTTTGGTAATTTTTCCTCTATTCTCTCTTGTCCTAAATATTAAAGATTAGAGCTAAAGAAGACACTTTTCCTTAATAATCACATTTTGAACTATACCTTCAGCTAGAAACCAGCTGGACAAAAAAATAATTGATTTTTTTACTTACCATTTTAATTTGTATCCTAGCCATTCTGTGTTAACAATTCAGGTTTTCTTGGATAACTGATGAGTAGTAACTTCGCTAAATAAAAATGAAACCCCGATATAATGTAGTTCCTCATTCTATGACTAAAGTTATTTAACTGGAAGAACCTATTGTTGGTCTCCATTTTTTTTAAAGCATGTAAATATATTATCCAAGTTTCAAAACCTCAGGGTTTTTTTATTATTATTAGTTTTAGGTATACAAAACAATGTAATAGTTAGGCATTTATACCCTTCACAAAGTGATAACTCCCCTCCCCCACTCTACTACCACTCTGATATTGTATATAAGCTGTTACAATTCCATTGACTCTATTCCCTATGTTATACTCCACAACCTGTGATTATATATATTAAATTTAGTTGACATTCAATATTATTCATCTTCAGCTTCAGGTGTACAGTGCAGTGGTTGGGTATCTACTTCATCCATAAGACAAGTGCCCATCTGACACCCTACAAAATCTTTACAACATTATTGATTATATTCCCCAAACTGTCTTTCGTATCCCCATGCCTTGGGGTTTTATTTATCAGACATTTAATACATGAGGAAATTGACAGGAACAACTTCCAAGTTTTGATTCATTGTAATTTTGACTTATAATCAAGAATGTTGGGCATTTGTTGTAACGATATGAAAACCACCAGCTTTGTTTTATGCTGAAGTGAATTAATATTCTCATATTCAGATGATGCACCAACCTATAATCATACTTATTAGAGAAATATATGAGCAATTTCGGACCATGATTTAATATATTTTTGACAAATAATTCCTTTAGCATCATGAATTAACTTCTCCTAATAATTGTTTAAAAATACCTCCCCCCACACACAAAAACACCCTTTTTTTGCGTTCTATGATTTTTTTCTAGACAACAATAAATTATCTTTTTCCCTTGACTTTGTATCTAGATCTTCTTTAAGACACATAGCTTTGGCTACAGCCTTTGCAGTGTTTGACTCAGTTTCCCTCTCCTTCTTCACATAATTGTTAGGGTGCTCTTAACAAGGCCTTATGATTTACATAGTAAAAGCCAATCAGACAACTTTTATTTGGTGACCATGTGAGTACACTGTGTAATAAATAAGAATCTGTTTCTCCTGCCAGAAAACATGGCTGAAGCCAACGACCTAGAGCTAAACTGAAAACGCATTAAATATATATGAACCTGTTGGGCCCAAACTCTGCAAAACGACACTGTTGTATCATTATGGCTTGATTTTTTTTTTTTCTCTTCTTTGTTGAAGACTTATGACTTACTGACTTAGGGCCAACTGTAGTACATGTAAAAAATAGTAGAAGTTCAACAATCAACTATAAACAAACCCATTGGCTTACATTTTCCCTGAATAAGAGAAGGTGTCAAAAATTTTCCCACATGATCACAGTGTGGTCCTGGCCACACCCCTGAATCTGATGGAAATTGGAAAATGGACAAAGAAGAAGGTAAGCAGAGGGACACCTGGAGCCAAAGCATCCAGAAAGCAGATCCAAGACAGGGAGAGTCTCGTGAGATCTCTGAGTCTCAGAATATCAAGTTACTCATGGTTGGAACATGAGACAAAAGAAAGTCTAAGTGATCAGGCACCGGTGCCAGGGACAAGCCAGCAGTTTTCAGGGAACTGCTGCAGAGCTGTGAAAGTCAGGGGCCAGGAGCAGGGTCCAGAACCAGAAAAGGAGAAAAGCTGGCCTCCAAGGCAGGGATCCAGGCCTCGGGACCTGAGGCTCAGCAGAACCAGAGCTGGACCCACAACAGGAATGCTGGAAGGCTGCACTTGAGAGCTACTGAATACACTCCCAATAGTCCTTCTTTCCCTCAGTGACCCATAACCTTGAGACAGAACGTGCAAGTCCAGGCTAAGCAGACCCATGGGGACTTAGGAATGATGACTTCTGGGTATAGGTGATTAGGACAGAAAGATACAGGCACGCCAAGCGTAGAATGATAACCTTGAATACAACATTTGACAAATGGGGCCGCTTTTTACAAATCCCACATTTCTTTCAAAGTATAAATCCTTTAAAAACATATAAACCTTTTCAGATTTTACATCTTCGTGGTAGAAATAGACCTTTAACCTTTTTTTATTTTTCTCTACCTCTTAGAAGGCCAGCAATGCCAATTCGAAGTGAAGCTGTGAAGTCTAGAAATTTTGTCTTCTGTCTTGGTCTCCCATTTATGCAGCAATTTCTCCTCTCTGGGACAGATACTTAAAATGCCCTTGTTGTTTTATTCTCCCCTAAATTTAAAAGTCTGCTATCTATACTTTTGATTGAATAACTGCTTGTAATCTAAAGTTTAGCCTTACTGTGTCACCTCAAATAAGCAGCTTCATTTAAAATAAGCTCTTCATGGGCTGGCCGAGTGGCGCGTTGGTTAAGAACTGGCTTGGGATGCCAGGGGGCCCCGGTTCAGATCCCACATATGAGGGCCAGTGACACTGCCCTCCACAGCTAAGATACTGAACAACAGCTCAACCTGGAGCTGGGCTGCCGTGGGTCGCTGGCGACGGTGTAGGCTGCAGGCCCTGCTGCAGTGGGTTGCCATGGGCTACCGTGTGTAGCCAGCAGCCAGGGTGAGTGGCCAGCAGCTGCCATGAGCGGCCGTCCAGAGGCCAGAAACTGATCTGCCTCGCCTGGGAAGAGCGCAATGATGGTGCCAACTTGGGCCAGTGAGGCAGCATCTTCCACACCTAGACTGAAGAACAAAACGACAGCAACTTGTCTGTTCCCCTTCCCCCAATTTCCCAGCGCTGTTCCCATTCCCCCAATTCCCCAATAAAATCTTTTTAAAAATAAATAAAATAAAATAAGCTCTTAATTTCTAATTGCTCTAAAATATCACTTTTACCCTTAGGAAGGAGAAGTGGGAAGAGTCCAGTGAGTCAGTAGCAGTTGGAGTGGGGGAGGGGGCGGTGGCGTTAAGTTGGTGCATTAACACTCCAGTAGCCTTGTCTTGGCTGTGAACCTGGTGGTTGTCATTTAGAAGGCCTGGAAGTTGCGTGAGAGAAGGTTATAAGATACTCTTAAAGATAGCCCACAATGAGCAGAGCGAGTACGTAGGTGCTACACACATACTCCTAAAAATTGAAGGCCTGGAGAAAACCAGAAAGTTGAAACTTTCTTTTTTTAATCAAAGTACTAAGGAACTTCAAATATATGGTAATGTTCAAATGATCATATATCTATAGATAATCTACTCCAGAGGGCATCACTACTCTGTTATAAGTGGTTGATTCTTTTTATAAGTAAATGGTCAGTTCCTGCAACATCAGACAATTATAGTTTAAAAGTGAGTAATCTACTTCATTGGCCATGGCAGAGATTCAGCTCTTTGAAAAATATAGTCATTTTTAACCTCATTGTTTATTGTTATGCATCTGACAATGGGATTTAATTTTTAGGTATTTAGGCCTTTTCCTTAAGTGTGGGGACCCTCAAGGCAGTCATTTCCGATGGTATTTGGAATTCCGAATCTTTATTCTTTTCCGAGCACAATGGAAATAAACAATCCATTTTCGGTCTTTCCCTGTTTCCTTCCTAAATAAAGCCTTTTCACTTACACAGGCACATGCTCTCCGTGTGAATTCAGGTTTC